ATTCCGTTGTGCAATCGTCAAAAAAAAAAAAAAAAAAGAAAAAAAAAAAAAAAAAAAATGCAACATATATAAATACAACCAATCCCAGAGTCATGACTTATATACCTATTATATTCATGTGACTCTGATGGGGTTATATATACCTCTTAAAGAATATCTTATCAATTCAAATACACTTTTTAAATTACACCAAAGTGGTTGGGCCACTTACCTTTTATATCCTACCTCTCCCCCCCCTCCCACCCTTTTCCAATATTTCCATCCTTACCCATCCTTCTTCTTTCCCCATCTTACCAAAGCTCTGGTCATTAGAAGCGAAGCGAAGGGATGAGGGTGCGCGATCTGCCCAGTTCTGTTACCCTTAATTCTATTTATGTCCCTCCATGCCCGGCTAAGTGGGGTGTGAGCATTAAGACCATTGACAAATTTTTCCCAGTCTGTTTGCCACAGCTCTATCATACGCTCTCTGGCAGCAGCAAGGGCAGTTTGGAAGAGCCTCAGCATTCCAGGGGTACAATGTTTTCTATAGGCTAGGCCTAGTCTGCGAGCGGTACGTTTCAGTGTACGAAGTTTAGAATCATTGTAATAAGTATGGTTTTTGAAGGAGGTATGATTATTATGGAAGTTTGTTGGGTTTAGAGTACCAAGAGGTTTCAGTGGCGGCTCTAAGTAGTTCTGAATACTGCTCACAAGATCATTGTTAAAGGTCTCTACAGAGGAACACTCATAGGAATTATACCAGTCAGTCACATGTGCAACAAAGTCATCATGCTGATCGCTTTGTTACTTCTCAGTCATGTAAGTGGATCCAAGATGACATTTAATGGTTCAAAATTATGATCAAGGTTTAGAATAGGTTATACAGTAAATGTTAAAGTTGTATACAATTCCGAGAGGTCAGTAAGTAAGACACTTGTGCAACAGTTAGGCATCTTTATTCTAAAATGTTTCTCCTACTCAGTAGGCTTTTTCAGTCGAGTACAGAAAAGTTGGCAGAAGCAGTAGAGATGTGAATACAATGTAATTGGTCCATCACTTTCGAAGACATAGTTTTGAGGTGGTTAGTCCCTCAGCCTGGAGAGAAATTTTGTTCCATAGTCTGAAACAGTGTTTCAGACTATGGAACAAAAATTTTACTTACCAGTCTATGCAGTATTTTACATTTATTTGTTTTATAATACATATGTTACTTAGATTACTGTATTCATAATAATAAAAAAAAATTCCATGCTACCAGGTCTGAAGGATGCACTGTTTGATAAGCTGTTAATGTCCAACTCGTTCCTACTGGGCGTTGGTGCTGGTATTGTTGTGCTGCTGATGTGGTGCTATACTGGCTCTCTCTTCATCACAGTAGTCAGTAAGTAAGTAAGTAAGTAAGTAAGTTTATTCAGGTATACACAAATACAGTTACATAGAATTATCATACATAGCAGCATATGTGTAGAGAACCTGGGATAACCCAAAAAAGTCAGACAGAGTGACTTATTTCCATTGGGGTCCTTTTACCTTATTATTATAGTATAAAGGTTATAATATTTTCTTATTATTCTACAATGAAGATAACATCTTATTATCATACTAAAAAGACTATCTACTACACGAGGGTCATTAAGACTATCTACAATACGAGGGTCATTACAAGGAATAAGGTAAAATTTACACGTATGTTAGCTAAAAAAATAGAAAATCATTCCCCTCCCTTTCTGTAGCTACATTCATCAGACACCTTTTGGCACTCTTCTTGAACTGGTTCACGCTATGACTGGCTTTGACATGTGCGGGTAGTCTGTTCCATTCCTTTATTGCTGTACAATAAAAGGTGTTTGAAGCCTGGCCACTGACTGTGGGTACTACAAAGTTGTGCTCTCTCCCCCTAGTACTATGATTGCTTTGGTTCCCAACCTTGACAAAATTGACAGCAAGATATTCTGGACACTGTTCGTGAGCAATTTTATAAACATGATTTAGCTTCAGTTGTTTTACTCTGTCTTCAACATTCAGCATATCCAACTGCTGTAATTCATCCTGGCCTACATGTTCTCTGGTCCCAGCCCCAGGATGAATCTTACGATTTTGTTCTGGGTGATTTGCAGTCTATCTTTCAGTTTTTTTGTCAAGGCAGAGTACCAAGAAGAGCAAGCGTAATCCATATGGCATTGTATAAGGGCTAGACATAGGGTCCTGCGAGCCTCAGTAGGTAGACACTGTGCTTGTCTATACAGGAACTTCAGTCTGGCATTCGCTTTCTTTACTACACTGTTTCCTATCAATTCTCCTGACATGCATGGGTCAAAGGGGATTCCCAAATATTTTACTGATGAAACCAAAGTGATGGGCTCCCCATTACATTGAACATTAAAATTATTTACCCTTCTCAGTTTATGTTTCGTGCCAAAGAGAATGGCTTCAGTTTTCCCTAGGTGTAATGATAGTTTGTTGTCTACTAACCATTTGCTGCAGGACTCCAGTTCCAGTGTTAAAACATTAGCAATATCTTGTGGGTCTTTACCTGACACTAACAGAGCACTGTCATCTGCATACAGTAGGAGTTTGCACTTGACACTGATAGGCATATCATTGACATAACATAAGAATAATAAGGGACCCAGAATACTACCTTGGGGAACTCCACATGTTATCGGCAGGGGTTCTGATTCTGTTTTGTTGATTTTGACTATTTGTCTCCTGTTGCTAACGTAGGACTTAAACCAGTCTACAGAACCTATACCGATAGCTTGAAGTTTATTTACATAATATATGTGGTTGACAGTATCGAAGGCCTTTTGCAGGTCTAAGGTTACCATGCCTATGAGGTTCCCCTTTGACATTTCAGTTCTCAGGTAATCCATCAGATTAATAAGGGAGGTGTCAGTTGAGTAGGATCTTCTAAAGCCCGATTGATAGCTATGGAGAATGTTGTTGTCATTAAGGTACTTAACTACTTGAGAATACACCGCCCTCTCTAGAATTTTAGATATTATACTGAGTATACTAACAGGCCTATAGTTGCTTACAATCAGACCTACTATTTTTCTTGAAGATAGGAGTAACTCTGGCCTCCTTGAACCCCTCCGGTACTGTATTAGTGGTGATTGATAGATTTATTATGTGAGCAATAGGGATTGACAGTTTCAGAAGCACCATCTTTTAGGAACTTAGACGGGATGTTATCAGGGCCTGTGCTCTTAGTTGGTTTAACCTGCTTAGTTCTTTTTGAATAAAGTCATGAGATACACTTACTAGTTGACAACTGTTTTGGGATTACCCCTTTATTGGTATAGTATGTTTGAAACTTATCAGAGTCTGTGTTAAAGGTATTTGATGCAGCTGGTAGTTTACTTACTAGTGTTGATGCAACAGATGTGTAGTATGAATTAAAGTCACCATCACCACTGTCGCTTGTGCCCTCGTCATTGCATATTTTATGTAATCTTTATTTATGAGATAACTTTCTTCCCATACATGAATGTTTTAACTACTGTTATAGCAATAGGTAAGTGTATTTTTCAAGATATATCTTTTTAAACATTGAACAAGATCCTCTTATTGTTTACTTTTATAAATAAGATATTCAAAATAAGCTTAAACAATTATTATTAATTTTTCAAAAGTATAGTTGTCCCTCACTTTATATGACAGTTGCAGTCCTGGTCCATTGCCCATAGAGCAAATTCACTTAACAGAACTCATTATAACATGTATAGCACAGGGATTCATTTTAAACTTTGTAAATTTGCACATTTATTGATTACATTTACCAAAAAGATGTAAGCTTACAATACATGAATAAAATGGTCATATACAAAAAATTAATTTAAATTTTGGGTTTTGAAAACAACTGAGAACAAATAAAATAAAAAATTCATTCAGAAACTCTATACAATACAAAATACCCTAACTTGTGAGGTGCAGGTTAGGGTATATAGGAGAGCAGGAGATTTTTCTCCTTAGAGAGGGATGTATGATGTCACTATGGCTTAACTTATTTATAGATTGGTTTTATAAAAGAAGTGATTGCTAGGGTGTGAGGGAGAGGTGTGAGATTAAAAGATACTGAATCTGGTACAGAGTGGGAGTTGCTACATCTGCTTGTTTGCTTATGGCACAGTTCTTTTGGTAGATTTGGAGGAGAAGTTGCAAAAGTTGATAAACAAATTTGGGAGGTTATGTAATGGATGAAAATTATAGGTAAACATAGGGAAGAGCAAAGTGATGAAGGTATCAAAAGTATAGGTAATGAGAGATTGAATATTAGAATGAAGGGAGTGAGTATGGAGGAAGCAAATGTGTTCACATATTTGTGAGCAGACTTGTTAGTAAATGGTTGTATGAGAGAGGTGAGCCGCAGAATTGATGAAGGTAAAAAAGGCAGGTGGTGCAGTGAGGCATCTCTGGAGACAGAGAACTAAACCCATGGAGGCAAAAAGGGGAATGTACCAGAGTACAGTGGTACCAAGACTGTTGTATGGGTATGAAGCATTGGTTTTTGAATGTTGCAGTGAGGAGGCAGCTACAGACAGTAGAGATGCATTTGAGGACAATGAGTGGTGTGAATATTATGCAGAGAATTCAGAGTTTGGAAGAGATTAGGAGTAGATTGCTTGCTGAAGTGGAGATTAGGAGGGGTTGTTGAGATGGTTTGGAAATTTAGAGTGGGTGGAGAAAAATAGGATGACTAGGGAGGTGTATAAATCTGTAGCGGAGGGAAAGCAAGGTTGAGTCATCCTAGGAAAGGTTAGAAGGAGAAAATAAAAGAGGTTTTGTATGTGATGAGGGGCTTGGACATCCAACTAGTGTGTGTGAGCATGTTAGATAGGAATGAGTGGAGGAAAGTGGATTGTATGACTTGACATGCTGTTCGAGTGGTGAGTAAGGTAACATTCATGAAGGGATTCATGGAAACTGGTTAGCTGGATTTGAGTCCTGCAAGTGAGAAGCACAGTGCCTATACTCTGAAGGAGGTTAGTGATATTGGGATTTGGAGGGTCATCTGAACTATGATGTCAGTGGCCTTCTGACAAGGCAGTGATTGAATGAGGGACAGTGAAGTGTTTCTGTTTCTTGTCAGGTCACCCTACCTCAATGGAGATGGCTAGAGTATTAAGAAAAATTAAGCTTTACTTCTGACTAGTAAATATACCATCATTAGACTTTAGTCTCTGCCTTTTTCTCTATCTTTGGACACTATTGTGTGATGTTCCATTGTTTGTTATATGGGTGGAAAGAACACCATCACATCTTACATGTTATCTTTTTTTTTTTTGGGATTGGGGGAAATAGAAAAGGGGTCCATCAAATGACAAAAGCCCCTTTGGGGAAATAATATGACTAAAACCTGCACAGGAAAATTTTTTTTTCTTTAAAAAAATCCCACTTTCTTTTTGCTAAACCTTTTCGAAATGGAAATTTTCCCGCAAAACCCATGAAATTTTCAACCCAATTTTGAGTTCTTGGTTTTGTTACTGAGTTAAAAGCCAAGAAATTAATGGTCATTTGAAAAAAAGTTTACTTTGCAGATTGTTAATATTCACAGTGAGGATAAAAATGCAGCGTTAAACATTTACTCATACTTTAAAAAAGTAAGGGAAAAATGTGTGTACAATGTTTTTGTAATTTTTTTTATTATTTTTCTTGGGAAAAAAAGGGAATAAACGATGGGAGTGAACAACATAGGATAGTGTACTTTCATCTTCGATGAATTGTAGTTGTAGCTTGAAAACTATAAGTTGGTAGGTAGAGTATGTAGGAGAGAGGGAGATTATTTCCAGTAAAAGTAGGCCTTAGACAGGGATGTGTGATATCACCATGGTTGTTCAATATATTTATTGATGGAGTTGTAAGAGAAGTGAATGCTTGGGTGTTGGCAAGAGGTGTGGGGGTAAAAGATAAGGAATCTAACACAAAATAGGAGTTGTCACAGTTGCTCTTTGCTGATGACAAATGTGTTTTTTGGGAGATTCTGAAGAGAAGTTTCAGAGATTGGTGGATGAGTTGGGTAGGGTATTAAAAGAAGGAAATTAAAAGTGAATATAGGAAAGAATAAGGTGATGAGGATAACAAAAAAAATTAGGTAATGAAAGATTGGATATCATATTGGAGGGAGAGCATATGGAGGAGGTGAATGTTTTCAGATATTTAGGAATGGACATGTCAGCAGATGAGTCCATGAAAGATAAGGTGAATCGTAGAATTGACGAGTGGAAAAAGATGAGTGGTGTACTGAGGAGTCTCTGGAAACAAAGAAATTTATACATGGAAGCAAAGAGGGGAATGTATGAGAGTATAGTTAAACCAACGCTCGTATTTGGGTGTAAAGCATGGGTGGTGAATGTTGCAACAGGGAGAAGGCTGGAGGCAGTGGAGATGTCATGTCTGAGGGCAAAGTGTAGTGTGAATATAATGCAGAGAATCTTTGGAGATTACGAGGAGGTGTGGGATTGCCAAAACTATTATCCAGAGGGCTGAGGAGGGGTTATTGAGGTGGTTCAGACATGTAGATAGGAAGGAACAAAGTAGAATGACTTTGAGAGTGTATAAATCTGTAGTGTAGAGAAGGTGGGGGTAAGGGTTGGTGTAGGAAAGGTTGGAGGTAGAGAGGGTAAAGGAGGTTTTGTGTGCGAGGGGCTTGGACTTCCAGCAAGCATGCTTGAGCGTGGTTAAGAGTGAATGGAGACAAGTGGTTTTTAGGACTTGACATGCTGTTGGAGTGTGAGCAAGGTAATGTTTATGAAGGTATTCAGGGAAACCGGCAGGCTGGACTTGAGTCCTGGAGATGGGAAGTACAGTGTCTGCACTCTGAAGGAGGGGTGTTAATGTTGCAGTTTTAAACTGTAGTGTAAGCACACCTCTGGCAAGACAGAGATGGAGTGAATGATGAAAGTTTTTCTTTTTCGAGCCACCCTGCCTCAGTGGGAAACGGCCAATGTATTAATAATAATAAAAAAAATTATTAAATAAAAACTAAGCATTAAGCCCACAAGGTCTATTGAGGGAAAGGATGTGGTTTTTAAAACTGAGAATTGGACAATAATCCTTTATAATATTTATGAATAAACCCAAGTCTGAAACACATTTTTTTATGCAGACCTTTTTTTTATTATTCATGGTTTGTAGTTTTGTGTGATGTTTTTCTATCAGTATTTATAAGAGTATATTATACTGAATCATGGCACATCTGTACAGTATACATGTATAATTTCAACTGAGGATTTAAATTACTTGGCCCATCTTCATGAACTCAAAACTCTTAATCCTTTTCAAGAATTTTAAACTATTTTGATAATTTTTCATGAGTAATTAGTATTGGAGTATGAATGTAGACCACAAAGTCCACACTTTCCATTTATACTTTGTTACAAATATTAGAGAACGCTTCAGCTAGTTGATTTATTCTTCAATTCTTTCAAATGCTACTAACACAGGTGAAAAGTTTTAAAATTGAGAATTGGACAATAATCCTTTATAATATTTATGAATAAAATATATTATATAGGATTAATGCCCACCTCACTTTAAAGGAGGGGTTTGGGATACTTGTTGTTTGGAGTGACATCTGAACTGTGGTATCTGAGCACCTCTGCCAAGACGGTGATGATGTGTGAATGATGGTGAAGGTATTGATGATGGTGAGAGTGTTTCTTTTTGGGTCACCCTGCCTTGGTGGGAGACGGCCAGTTTTAACCAAAAAATATTTCTGAGTGTTGAAGTTTCTTTAGTGGAGTTGATTCACACTACATAAATGAGACAAGCATGACTTAAAATTTATATATATATATAATATATATATATATATATATATATATATATATATATATATTATATATATATATATATATATATATATTATATATATAATAACTGTAAAATTAGTGCTGTTTTCTTTTTCAGCATTTTTGCAGGAACTGTGGTTCTGGCTAACCTCCTGCTAATGCTGACTTGGGTACCAGCATGTGTTGTGGTGGCTGAGCGCTGGGGTGCCTCCACCTGCTGCCTCTGTGTCCCCCCAGCACCTGTATATGCTCCTCATCTGCCCCCTCGCTGTTCTGTGGTGTGTGCTTTACCCCTCAGATTTTGCTACTCTTGTGCTGAGTCTGCAAGAGTGTTTTTTGAGAAGATGCTTCCATGGGTGATAGTAAAGCCCCGCCACTTGTGGGTCTTATTGCTCGGTATTCTGGCAGCATGTAGTGCTGTTGTTGTATTCTACTTTCCAGGACTCAAGCTTCCAGATTCACAAATGTTTCAGCTTTTTTCAAGAGATCATGTCTTTGAGCAGTATGACTTGAGGTACAAATATAAATTTTGGTTTGAGAGGAATCTGAGAAATGATATTGTGAATCGGTTACCAGTGCATATAGTCTGAGGAATTAAACCAGTGGATAATGGGGACTACCTCAACCCTGCTTCAAAAGGAACATTAGAATATGATGAAAATTTTGATGTAGCTCAGCCAGAATCTCAGGAATGGCTGCTAAATTTTTGCCGTGATCTTCGAAACCAAAGCTTTTACATGTCTACTCTGGGTCCTCTGCTTCCAAATTGTTTATTGAAACATTTAAGAGTGGATGGAAAGAAAATGCATAGATCCAATAACAGGCGTTGATCGCTCTCCTTGCTGTGAAGCCTCCAAGTTTCCTTACCCACGAGATGTCTTTGACAAGTGCATTCACAAGGGCATTATGGCTCTTTACCAGACTCCACGAGAATACTTCATTCCTGGAGTTGCAGGCCCAAAATTCAGCAGAAAAGCTGGAAACATTGTAGCCATTGTTGTGGAATATGATAGCAACACTTTGTGGTCTCTCTCCTATGAGGATATGCAAGAATTTTTTATACAGGTAAGGAAATTTTTGATGTATACAAATTGCCAATTTTGTAGGAGATAGTTACATTTTTTTTTTTAACACAGCAGCCCTCTCCACCAAGGTAAGGTGACCCTAAAAAAAAAATACACTTACCCTAACTCATTTAGTAGCTATTTTGACAGAAGTTTGCGGACATCAAAGTTCAGGTGACCCTCTATACTGCAACATTCCCACTTCTTTTTTCAAATAATAGGCATGCTCACCTCCAGGACCTAAGTCTAGTTGACTGGTTTCCTGACTCCCTTCATAAATATTACTTTGCTCACACTCCAGTAGCACATACAGTAGGGCCTCACTTATGCAGCAGGTTAGGTTCCAGGCTACTGCCAGAAAGTAGACATCGCCAGAAAGCAGAATGCCATTTTTACCACTTATAAATGCATGTAAATGCCAGATAACAAGTTTACACTAACATATATTAAGTTAGCAATAGAACTAGGCATTAAAAAACAATAAAAAGTAAAATACGCACACAATACACTCATTATTTACCCCAAAATATTTGACTGTTTTGGTCGTATATATACATCTTACGAGCCAGTGTGTTTGATGTATTTACCTGGAGTTTACCTGGAGAGAGTTCCGGGGGTCAACGCCCCCGCGGCCCGGTCTGTGACCAGGCCTCCTGGTGGATCAGAGCCTGATCAACCAGGCTGTTGCTGCTGGCTGCACGCAAACCAACGTACGAGCCACAGCCCGGCTGATCCGGAACTGACTTTAGGTGCTTGTCCAGTGCCAGCTTGAAGACTGCCAGGGGTCTGTTGGTAATCCCCCTTATGTGTGCTGGGAGGCAGTTGAACAGTCTCGGGCCCCTGACACTTATTGTATGGTCTCTTAACGTGCTAGTGACACCCCTGCTTTTCATTGGGGGGATGGTGCATCGTCTGCCAAGTCTTTTGCTTTCGTAGTGAGTGATTTTCGTGTGCAAGTTCGGTACTAGTCCCTCTAGGATTTTCCAGGTGTATATAATCATGTATCTCTCCCTCCTGCGTTCCAGGGAATACAGGTTTAGGAACCTCAAGCGCTCCCAATAATTGAGGTGTTTTATCTCCGTTATGCGCGCCGTGAAAGTTCTCTGTACATTTTCTAGGTCGGCAATTTCACCTGCCTTGAAAGGTGCTGTTAGTGTGCAGCAATATTCCAGCCTAGATAGAACAAGTGACCTGAAGAGTGTCATCATGGGCTTGGCCTCCCTTGTTTTGAAGGTTCTCATTATCCATCCTGTCATTTTTCTAGCAGATGCGATTGATACAATGTTATAGTCCTTGAAGGTGAGATCCTCCGACATGATCACTCCCAGGTCTTTGACGTTGGTGTTTCGCTCTATTTTGTGGCCAGAATTTGTTTTGTACTCTGATGAAGATTTAATTTCCTCATGTTTACCATATCTGAGTAATTGAAATTTCTCATCGTTGAACTTCATATTGTTTTCTGCAGCCCACTGAAAGATTTGGTTGATGTCCGCCTGGAGCTTTGCAGTGTCTGCAGTGGAAGACACTGTCATGCAGATTCGGGTGTCATCTGCAAAGGAAGACACGGTGCTGTGGCTGACATCCTTGTCTATGTCGTATATGAGGATGAGGAACAAGATGGGAGCGAGTACTGTGCCTTGTGGAACAGAGCTTTTCACCGTAGCTGCCTCGGACTTTACTCTGTTGACGACTACTCTCTGTGTTCTGTTAGTGAGGAAATTATAGATCCATCGACCGACTTTTCCTGTTATTCCTTTAGCACGCATTTTGTGTGCTATTACGCCATGGTCACACTTGTCGAAGGCTTTTGCAAAGTCTGTATATATTACATCTGCATTCTTTTTGTCTTCTAGTGCATTTAGGACCTTGTCGTAGTGATCCAATAGTTGAGACAGACAGGAGCAACCTGTTCTAAACCCATGTTGCCCTGGGTTGTGTAACTGATGGGTTTCTAGATGGGTGGTGATCTTGCTTCTTAGGACCCTTTCAAAGATTTTATGATATGGGATGTTAGTGCTATTGTCTGTAGTTCTTTGCTGTTGCTTTACTGCCCCCTTTGTGGAGTGGGGCTATGTCTGTTTTTTTAGTAACTGTGGGACGACCCCCGTGTCCATGCTCCCTCTCCATAGGATGGAAAAGGCTCGTGATAGGGGCTTCTTGCAGTTCTTGATGAACACAGAGTTCCATGAGTCTGGCCCTGGGGCAGAGTGCATGGGTATGTCATTTATCGCCTGTTCGAAGTCATTTGGCGTCAGGATAACATCGGATAGGCTTGTGTTAATCAAATTTTGGGGCTCTCTCATAAAAAATTCATTTTGATTTTCGACTCTCAGTCTGGTTAGGGGCCCTTGTTTAAAAACTAAAGTCATTTTGGGACTTGATACTAAACTCTTTTCCCTTGCTGTCATCTGTGTGGGGCCCCCATCTTGTTTAAGTAGGGCCCAATACTGGCGTTGTTCTCGTTTTTTGATTTGGCATGGAGAAAAAATATTTTGGGGTTTTTCCTTTCGTTTTTCATTTTGGCTTTTAGTTTTTCCCCCGCGTTTCCCCTGATTTCCTAAAGGATTTTTTGGGCTTAATTTTCGATGCTTGCTTTTTTCTTGACCAGTGTCTCCCTACTCATTTCGATATATTGCCCTTTTTTTTAAAGCTTTTGGGTTTTTCCCTTTTCCCGTACCCTGAAAAGGGAGCGCCTTTTCACTTTCAGTTTTACATCTACTCCTCCTTTTTCCCTTTGAGGGATAACCTTGTGCAAAACCTCGAGTGCCCCCGAGTTAATTGTTCTAGGGATAAGTTTGGGGGGCTGTGTTGCTTAGTATATCTTCCCCGCCTTTTATCGGTTTACTTGGTTTCCCCCTTTATGTTTTTTGGGAAATTTAAGTTTAATTTGGTGAATGCTCCCTCGTGGACTAAAACTATTATGTTTGGTTTTGGGGGCCTGCGCATACATGACTGAACCTCAATTATGTTGTGATCTGAGTATATTGTTTTTGATATGGTGACATTTCTTATCAGATCATCATTGTTAGTGAAGATGAGGTCTAGTGTATTCTCCAGTCTAGTAGGCTCTATTATTTGCTGGTTTAAATTGAATTTTGTGCAGAGATTTAAAAGCTCGCGCGAGTGTGAGTTTTCATCAGAGCTGCCTCCTGGTGTTATTACTGCAACAATATTATTTGCTATATTCCTCCATTTTAGGTGCCTTAAGTTGAAATCCCCCAGAGCAAGATGTTGGGTGCAGGAGCGGGAAAGGGTTTTCCAGACAGTGGTCAATTTTTAACAGCTGTTCCTGGAATTGCTGGGATGTTGCATCCGGAGGCTTGTAGACTACCACAATGACTAGGTTTTGGTTCTCGACCTTTACTGCTAAAACTTCCACTACATCATTTGAGGCATTTAGCAGTTCTGTGCAAACAAGTGACTCTGCAATGTACAGGCCAACCCCCCCCCTTTTTGCCTGTTCACTCTGTCACATCTGTATAGGTTGTAACCTGGGATCCATATTTCGTTGTCCAAGTGATCCTTTATGTGGGTCTCAGTGAAAGCCGCGAACATTGCCTTTGCCTCTGCAAGCAGTCCGCGGATGAAAGGTATTTTGTTGTTTGTTGCTGGCTTTAGACCCTGTATATTTGCAAAGAAGAATGTTATCGGACTGGTGGTATTGTTGGTACTGGGGGGGATTTTTTTTCCGGCATTAGTATCTGTATCTGTTGGTTTGGAGTGGAGGCCATCGACTGTGGTTCCACTCCAGGAATGACTGGATTTGGAGTACGATTTCTGCCATTTCCTGCCAGTTGTTTTTTCTTCCTGGCACTAAAAAAACTCTCCCTCTTGAGTGGCTGTGGCTACCCAGGTTTCCCATGGCCTGGATGTTTTGTATCTTTTTGTCCCTTAAGATGGTATGCCTGGCAATTTAAGTTATAGCACAGTCTTTCCTGTACTGAAGAGGTACACAGTTCAGGGTGAAAAAGCTTACAGGAAGGGAGTTTGCATTTTCCTGTTGTCATATGGGCATGGCATTTCTAGGGTGGTCATAGTTGCAACGTCCATCTGTTTTTCCAGATTTCCCATGCCAGCAGATACCGAGTGCATAGTATTTGCACAGGCTTGGTTTCCGTTTGCCTTGGGATTCTGTGACTGTATTCCCTGTTGGTGCATGTTTCCCTGTCTTACTTCTATCCTCCCTAGCACCAACAATGGAGCTCCCACCAGTTGTTTTTGGTAATATATCCTCACTATTGCTAGTGGAGTCCTCTTATTTGCTATTTCCTGCGGTATTTCTAGTTTGCAATATTGGTTTTATCTTATCTTTGACTACACTTGTTTCCCTACTATGGCTCCTGTCCCCAATGAGGTCATTTATATGTATTCCTTCCTGCGTATAATTCCCGACTACCTGGACAAAATCTCCAGCTTCACCATTACTGTCTCCCAGGACAGCATCTCCAGCTTCCCCATTACTGTCTCCCAGGACAGCATCTCCACCTTCACCATTACTGTCTCCCAGGACCGCACCTCCAGCTTCACCATTACTGTCTCCCAGGACAGCACTATCAGCCCCCCATTTACTGACTACCAGGACATCATCTCCAGCCTTACAGTTTCTGACTACATGGCCAGTATCAAGGGCAGTACCATTCAGCCCAGACTTTTTATGTTCCCATCTGTTGTAGAAAGCTTCCAGGTTTTCTATGAAAGCAGCTTTGATGTTGACCTCTTTTAATACCCTTGTGATTTTAGTCCACAGATTTATCTCATTTGGGCATACCCAAAAACACTTCCCTGTTTTAATACTGCTTGTAGCTAGTTCTTGGATATCTGCACAAGGGGCGTGACACCAATTTCCACAAAAATGACAATTTATGCGTGTGGAAGCCCGTTTATTTGACTGACCACAGACTACACACAGCTTCATAATGATTTGAATGGTTGATTTACTGCAATTCTACTAGCAACCTCTTGAATATTCTATTAATAACCTGCTAGGTAGTGCTCAACGAA